GCTCTGGATAGGATAAATTCTTGTGCATAAACTTACAGCCACATTAATGGATAAGTTCTGTTATACATGCAAATGGGTCCAGATGTAGGTAAGGCGGCTCTCTGAACAAGAGGCCTAAAATTTCGATCCCAGTGCAGGTCATGTATGCAGATGAAACCTAATGTCATGATTAGCCCAGTCTGTCCAGACAGAATAGTAGGACGTTAAACCCCATTTCATTAATCACTATTAATGTGAATGTCTGTCTGTCTGTCCCACTGTATGGGACACAATAACTTCTTCTAATAGTGATGAATATTCAAACTTGGTTGAATGTCTTGACTGAGCTCCATAATGAGCAGTTTCTACATATGCTAAGCTTTCAAAATGAACTAGAATGGGTCAATTCAAGTCCTGAGTTAAAGTGGTGTAGTGTCTAACTCAACCTCAGACCCCCCCTGTATTTGAAATCAATCTGAGTTAAGGTCTGTGGTGTTGAGGTTGTGTTAAATATGGATATATTTACACAACATGAACACCAGTGTCGTATCTATGTTACCCAAACACTGTCTATATTTTCAATATCAATTTCCCGATTTAAGAAACAAATTTACATGAAACAAATATAAAGACAACGAGCTTTGTGCAGTATTATTTCTAATTACAGAAAAACTTGTTAGATAATAACTCTAACACTAAACCCTAGGGGTTAAAAATTAAATATGAAGAGCTCCGGGGAAGAACGATCTAAGTCACTTTTTCAACGAACCCCAGTTAATGGCGCCATCTGGTAGCAAATTGTATAAGCTTTCTGTGGAACAATCAATTTTAGGTAAAAACGATCAGAGTTGCATCGAACCAAGGCCCTTCTGAAATGGCCTCCTGGACAAATACGTCCATCGTACCCTTTATGTGACCTTAATTTGGCTAAAAGGTGGAAGTCAGTTGTTGTACTGGTAATTATGATTCGTATTAAACATCATTTTGAAGTTGTAATTAAACCCACTCGTTGTTCTGTTCGCGTCAAGCATTCTCATCCAAAAGTCTGTTTTGCCTTTAATGCGAAAAGACAAAAATGTGACTTATTACAACACTGGACTCCTCATATATCAGTTTTAAGTCATTTATTACAACACTGGTGTAAAACAGCAGACGGCAAGAAGGGAATTTCTTTTAGGGTTTTTATTTCCTGTAATTACTGCCAGAGTTATGGCCCTTGATCACTTTGAAAAATCTTGTAGACGCTCCAAAAGCCAAAGTTAATATCCGATTGACTTTAAATTTATACACAGTGTATAAGGTCATTAGATGAAGAAGTCTAAGGCGTGGTTTCGATTTCCCGGTTGTACGTGACAAGGAGTAGGTTCACCTGTCCAACCTTGTGGGCATTCTCAGGTTCCTCCAGTTTCCTCCCACTGTTAAACTTTAAAGACCCCTATGCGCAACCGAATTATTCAAATAAAATTGAACCATGTGTTAGTCCCCAAACAACCATGTATTGGCTCCCCTCTCCTTGGGCCCCGCATCCGCCTCACTATTGACTTGTTTTCATTTAAAGCTGACTATAGACTAAACTGTAAGATAAGTTTGTCAAAGGTGAAAATGCTCATAAATAATTTACTACAATCTCATGTCTCCTTAATCACAATATATCAATCTCAGTCACATGATCTGATATATGCTTGATTAACAATATGTGCATTTTATATAGACATTAAATATACGTATATACGTTACTATTAATAGCCATTAGGCAACACCAATTTAATTTTCTGGGGACTTGAATCATGTTAAAGATGTTTTGTTTAAAATTTCAAAACTCAAAAGTTTGGAACTAAAAACAGCTCAACAAAATATTTTGGGTTTTAAATATATATATTTTTTTTTCACAAAGTAATAAGATACAAAATTTGTATTGGGGTTCCCAAAGAACAGCGGGGGTAGGATGGTCGAATGGTTAGCACGTGTGCGCTGTATCATGAGGCCTGTTATTGAGTTAAATCGCATGGTTTCGAATCCCTGGTTGTACGTGACAATGAGTAGGGTTGCCTGTCCAACCTGGTGGGTTTGCTCCGGGTCCTCCGGTTTCCTACCACTGCTAAAGACCCCTACGCGCAAGCGAATTATTGAAATAAAATTAAACCATATGTTAGTCCCGAAATGACCTAGTCTGTGTCGAGTGGTTTCGAATCCCTGGTTGTACGTGACAATGAGTAGGGTTGCCTGTCCAACCTGGTGGGTTTGCTCCGGGTCCTCCGGTTTCCTACCACTGCTAAAGACCCCTACGCGCAAGCGAATTATTGAAATAAAATTAAACCATAAGTTAGTCCCGAAATGACCTAGTCTGTGTCGAGTGGACGTTAAACCCCATTTCTCTCTCGCTCTCTCCCAAAGAACAGAAAATCAAATTAGTATGGCCTTACCGTTGTTGTTGTTTTTGTCATAGATACTAGTATATATACATTGTTTAGAGGTTTATATATTTATATTGATTATTTATATCATGTGATTATTCGTCCGTAACATGTCAATTATTTATTATCATTTAACATTTACCAACGACATTTTAATACCAGGATCTGGAAATTAAACATACATTATGCAAGAGTTAAATCTGCCTATTGCAGGTCGAACTCTCTTTAAGCCTAAGGAGTTGGATGGCCTAATGGTTAGCATGTGCGCACTGTATCATACGATCTGTCATTGAGTCAACTGGCGTGGTTTTGATTCCCCGGTTGTACGTGACAAGGAGTAGGGTTGCCTGTCCAACCCCGTGGGTTTTCTCTGGGTCCTCCGGTTTTCTCCCACTGCTAAAGACCCCTATGCTCAAGCGAATTATTGAAATAAAATTGAACCATGTGTTAGTCCTACATGTAGTTTGTGTCCTGTGGACAATAAGCCACATCTCTCTCTCTCTCTCTCTCCCTCTCTCTCTCTCTCTCTCTCTCTCTCTCTCTCTTTAGTCCTGAAATGTTATATATACACTATTAATTAGACATTTATTAACAAAATAAGACCATAATCAACTCTCGATGGCATCCGATACTCGAAATTTTAACTAGATTAGAACGGTTCGTCATTTAAAAATTTAATTTGAAAATGGGAAAACGCGGCTAAGTCTCGAATATACCAGTGCCCTGGTTACCACAATGCAAACATCTTGTCACAACTACAAACAGTGATAACATGGCTCAGAATGAAGTAATTTGAAAGAAATTTGCAATATTTTCATTTTACATTATCTATTTTTGAGCTATAAAAGTAAGAATGGTCGGGCTCTTTATCTAAATCTTACATAAAGTATCTTTAAATGAAATAAAATTAAATGAAGTTTAACTTCCTAGTTATCTGCAGTAACTGGAACATGTTGCATATTGTATAGCAAGAATGGTCAGCTCTTTATCTAAATTTTACATAAAGTATCTTTAAATGAAATAAAATTAAATGGGGTTTAACTTCCTAGTTATCTGCAGTAACTGGAACATGTTGCATATTGTATAATCAATAGGCTGGTGACACTAAAATTAAAAAATGACTATGTGTGAACTAGAGACAGAAATGGAGTTTAATGTCCATTCCACACAAACTAGGTCATTTTTGTCTAATTCCGCTTAATCCAAATTGTGGAGATTATCTTCTGTTTATAGTTTTGTTTATTTTTAAACAAAGATTTGATATTAAACGAATATGAAAGAAATTAGTGCTAAATTCACAAGATTAAATGATACGTGGCTTACAGTGCATGATCCATGGCATCCAAAGTAACGTTCATTGTAAACACAAAATAGCAATTAACATACATTATGCCAGAGCTAAATCTGCCAATTGCAGGTCTTTCTTTAGGCCTGAAATGTTATCTAAATTATTAATTATACATTAATTATCTTATCCAGAACATAATCAACTCTTGATGGCATCGCCAGTCTGTGATATTTACTGGATTAGAACCCGGTCTGCTGCTTCTGATTAAATCAAAAAATGGATAATCGAGACTATGTTTTTTATCTTACTGACTTTAGGAATGATGATCGAGGCTTGGCCCAAATTTCAATCGCTTAATACTTGGTTCAGGGTGGATCAATTTTGACTGAAATTTTCAGCAAATTCCCTTTACATTATCTAGTTTTTAACTATTATAGTGAGAACTACCTGCTCTTTATATAATCTCCCATAATGTATCTTTAATTAGATGTTGAATAATCGGTTTGTTTCAATTTAGTGATGATTAAGCCGTGCAAAATTTGATATTGGCCATAAATATGCAAGTGGCGATCAACTGCTTCAGTTTTAAAAAGACATTGCAAAGGCCTTTTTCTTATACCTCTGTGTAAGTTAACTGACCTTTATAAAGTTCATATGCATTCATTGGCCGATAGCTGGTGCAATGTTTATGCTCCGTGTGAAATATCCAGGCAAAATAGTGCCTTTCAAGCATTATACATACCCATTTACACTAGATAGGAAATATTTTTTTATCTAGATATACTTCAAACACCAGGTCGTTGGATGGCTGAATGGTTAGCATGTGTGCGCTGTATCATAAAGTCTGTCATTGAGTCAACTGGCGGGGTTGCGATTCCCCGGTTGTACATGTACGTGACAAGGAGTAGGGTCGCCTGTCCAACCTCAGGGGTTTTCTCTGGGTCCTCCAGTTTCCTCCCACTGCTAAAGACCCCTATGCGCAAGCCAATTATGTAATAAAATTGAACCACATGTTAGTCCTGAAATGACCAAGTTTGTGTCAAGTGGATGTTCAACCCAATTTCTCTCTCTCTCTCACTTCAAACACCTTTATTTATTTTTCTATTACTTCAAATTGCAGAAGGAAAAAAGTTTATATTGCGAGCTCAATCCAATATTTTTTTTTCAATCTAATGTTTATTTAATGTGATATACAGTCTTGGTTATCAGCTGTTCTTCAGACATGCAAGCAAGCTCAATTGACTATGTATTATACAGACTGGGTCAGGTTATTTGTCATTTATTGCCTCCCTTTATAAACATGTTGTTGGCCACTAGGTGGCAGCCTTGTAGATCAAGTAGTGATTAGGGCTGAGAGAACATGGCAGGAGTATAATTTTTCACAGGGTATAATGTGTATTTTTACTGTCAATATGTGCTTTGTGGATAGTTAACAGCGGAAACTAACGGAGTAACTTAAACAAGGGACATCTCCAGAAACTATCTATAATAATTTGTGTTTTTAATTAAGTGTTTTGGATCTGGCAGTCATCAAAACATGATGTGAGGTAAGCAAGGTTCTCTACTCTAAGCTGGACAACTTTTATTCTGTTTTCTGTAAACAAACTATCAGTAACACCAATGATAGAGCCAGCTGAATTCATTTACACTAGCTTGTTATACACAGGCTTCGGTTAATAGTAATGTGCAACAGTTAATGGACATGTATTATTGAGACATTTCATTAAAAAGTAATGAGTAATGACAAAGTAATTAATTGAGCTGCATTACAAATCATCCAACGGTCCATTAGGCCTACTTTATTTTGCAAAGATCAATTATTAAACTATGTCAAGTCTTAAATTTCAGCATCAACTAAGTAATTATATAGCTGACACTAATCCAATCTAACTGATTAAAATAAAATTAGTTTCAATGAATCTTGACAATATTAATTCAAGTCTTAAATTTTAGCATTTTTACAAAGTCAATTATGATTATGACACAAATCCTATCCATCCGATTAAAATTTATAAAAAAAATTGAATTACAAAGAATTGTAACAAAGTATAAATATCATATAATACTGATATCTAAAACTATTTCAAGTCTTAAATCTTAGCATCAACATAGCTAATTATGACACAAATCTATGTGTGTAATCTATCCTATTAATTTTTTAAAAAATTGAAATTAATTTCAAAGAATCATAAAAAAAAAAGAAAGAATAACTGAATATTGGTTAGGCCTATTTTTTATTTAGGATCTCAGAACTGATGTAGATTGTAATCAAAGATCAGTATTAATTAGCAATCAATCAATCAAGTACCGGGTAAATGGATGAGTGGATGAGATAATCCTGTGTTGATTATCCAGAACTTGTTAATCTTCAAATTGAGGTGTGAAATCATCTTCTAATAATAATCCATCATTTTAATCGTTGCTTGATTAAAAAAAACAATAGTTGTAATTTCTTTTAAGTCCTGTTTAAAAAGTAATCTTTGAATGACATTGTATGGATAACAATTACTATATTATACAAGTTTTAACAAGATTTCACTTCACATGTCGGGTGTGTAGGCTATATAATATAGTGATTGCTATCCATAGAACTGTGTTGTGGTATGTGTTTAAAATACGATATGTTAAAATAAATCCTTAAAACCCTGGAATCCATAGATGTGTTGTGTTTATACATGTATGTTAAAATAAAGCCCTAAAACACATGGAATCTATACACAGCCCTACCTATTTAAAGAATAGTCGTATTAATCCTATAATTCAGTAAATTATTGTCATTTGAGAAATTGGCAAATATATCATGTTCAAGTTGAAACATCAATATTGAGTTTTACCAATTTCATGGAGCATATCGTAAACAACAGAGTTATTATGTATTTCATCTGTGAGAAATATATTGGATTTTTGTGAATCAAAGGTTATTTTGAGCATGAGGTATTCTTCTAATAATATTCGATCATTTTATTCTTATTTAAACATGCATTATGCAAGAGCTAAATCTGCCTATTTCAGGTCTTTCTTTAGGCCTGAAATGTTATCTAAATTATTAATTAGACATTAATTAACCTATCCAGGCCATAATCAACTCTAGATGGCAGCGTTAGCCTGCGATCTTTAGTGGATTGTAAGCCGATTTACTGCGTAACTTTCCTTCTCTATTAAACGATTAAATGGATAATCGAGACTATGCTGTTTATCGTACCGACTTTAGTAATGATGACCGAGGCTTATGGGAATTTCAGTCGCTTAGTTCTGGGTTCATAGTGGATTAATTTGAATGAAATTTTCACCAAATTGCCTTTACATTATCTAGTTTTTAACTATTATACTGAGAACTGCCAACTCGTTACCGAATCTCCCATAATGTATCTTTAATAAAAAAAAGGAGATTAATAGTATTGAGTTTTACAGACTGAATTTCCCAGTTATATGTTGTTAGTCTTAGTCAAAATTTCTGAAATGATTAAAAAGTTCATCAAATTACTTGAAATCAAAATGTAGTGGGGTTTAACGTCCTACTGTTCTGCTTCGAACTGGGCTAATGAAGACGGACATACGCCATACAGCCAAGAGGGAAATTTTGCCCAGACAGCCGCACTATGGCCTACTCTTATATCGAATTCCAACTGTCAAGGTAACTTTACGTGCATGCCAATGAGTACATGGGACCTTGGTTTTTCGTACCATCCGAACCACTAGACAGCTGTCCTTGTCAGGCCCTCCATCATGCATCTTTGACAAGGGGGAACCATGCCAGAAAATCTGGATGAACTTTCTCGGCCAATGCAGGGATTGAACACCCAACCTCCAGGCTAACGAGCCAGTGTCTTACCCACTTAGCCACCGTGACCCCCATAAACAAAAGGTCTAGAGCAGTAGGACGTTAAACCCTATTTCATTTCATTTCTAGTCATACTTCCAATGAGAGATTTTATATAAATTTATTGCATGATACTCACTATTTTTGTTTTAATCTTGAGATAGAATCTCAATACTTCCTGTCGTAACAAGGTTTTCTATTAAAGAAATATATTATAACCGACGACATTAAATAATGTCATTTAATTTCTCAGGTTTATGATTGAGGGTTTTTGTGATATTATATTAAATTTATTTCTAGTTACACGGATATTTTGTGATATTGTAAACATTTCTAGTTATTAATAGCGGTAATAAATTAAATTTGAATTTGGATTAATTAGATATTAACTAAATAGTCCTTGCCTTTTAAAGTTTGAATCCCTGAAAACTATAATGTTGTGAAAGTTGATTCTCTAAAAAGAAAAGTGTGCTCTTTAACTAGTAAGTGCAGGGGGACTGCACCACACATAATTGACACGAAAACAAATATATGGACAAGACACAATACGCAGAAATCACAAACAAAAGAACAATTCAAATAAAGTGAATGGATCTGGGGGCTAGACGTAAGTGTCCACTGCGCTGTACAGTCTTGGGCCTGTAGTGACACAGATTTCACTCAAAAGTCATTAGATCTGTCATTTAGTCAAGTGGGGAGAGAGAGGGAGGGCCACACTTGCGCGAGATAGGTCCTTTCGCTTGCACGAGAGAGAGAGGGAGGGCCACACTTGCACCAGAGAGAGAGAGGGAAAGGGAGGGCCACACTTGCGCGAGATAGGTCCTTTCGCTTGCATAATAGGAGTCTTTAGCATTGGGAAGAAACCATAGGACCCGGTGAATGCCCACGAGGATGGACAGGCGACCCTACTCCTTGTTATGTTCAAGCGGAAAATCGAAACCACGTATGACACACAAGCTACATGTACTGAATTGAATGCAGGTACATGCTTTATTATACATTGTATATTGTATACACTGTCTAACAGTCTAATGTCAATATATTTTATCATATAGTCAATAAACTAGTAGATAAAACATTTACAGTGTAATATGATTTATGTCATTTAAAATGACATATCATATAAAATGTTTATTACCGTTTCAAATTGTTTGAAACTGGATTAAGATCCCTCAGTTCCCTGTTCTTATCACAAATGCTAAAAAAGATCTCCCCAAGAGATTACTTTCTCAGGAGAGCGATTTACCCGTTTTCTAATTTCAGGAGAGCTTTTTTTTTTTTGACTCTCGGAATTTTTTCACGTAAAGGCCTGTATACCACTGGATGGTCTAGTGGTTTAACACATTCTGTCATAGAGCCAACTGGCGTGGTTTCGATTCCCCACTTGTACAGGGGGGGTTGGATGGCTGAATGGTTAACGTGCGCGCGCAGTATCATAATATCTGTCATTGAGTCGACTGGCGTGGTTTCGAATCCCCGGTTGTACGTGGCAAGGAGTAGGGTCGCCTGTCCAACCTCGTGGGTTTTCTCCGGGACCTCCGGTTTCCTCCCACTGCTAAAGACCCCTACGCGCAAGCGAATTATGTAAATAAAATTAAAACCATATGTTAGTCCCAAAATGACCTAGTTTGTGTCGAGTGGACGTTAAACCCCATTTCTCTCTCTCTCCCCACTTGTACATGACAAGGAGTAGGGTCGGCTGTCCAACCATATGGGTTTACACCGTGTCCTCCATTTTCCTCCCACTGCTAAAGACCTAGACGAGGAAGCAAATTATTGAAATAAAATTGAACCATATGTAGTCCCAAAATGACATAATTAGTGTGGAGTGGTGTTAGATCACATCTCTCTCTCTCTCTCTCTCTCTCTCTGTCACAGGCTTTAGAATAAGATAAATTGATCGCTAGATGTATGTGATTACAGAAAATCATGCTTGTGTTTAATGATTATATGATTATTTTTATAGATGTGTTAAATTGTACATGAACATGAGACAGTGAGGGATTACACTTGAAAAAATATTGAAAATAAGAACCAATATTTCAGTATGAAGGTATTAAATTGAAACATGTTATGTCATATAAAGATGAATGTATGACAACTCATCCCAAGATGACTCGGCCCAATAGAAGACTACTTATCCCAACATAGAAGACCACTCATCCCACAATAGTTGTGTTTGTTTTAAATAGTGGGCCGACATGTAAGACCACTCAGACCAAGTTTAGAAGACCAGTCATCCCACAAAAGTTGTGTTTTCTTTTTAAATATATTGAGCGCCATGGAAAACGCATCACTTAGTTTTTCGTATAAAAAAATGATCCTGTAAACATATCTTATTTATTTTGCTTCTTATTGTGAAACAATATTCAAATGGGAACACATCAATAACAACACATTTGTACACTTATGGATGTTTAATCTGTAATCAACGGTACAAAGTCAGAGGGGTCAAAACCAAAAGTATGACACAGATGACAGTAGCGCGTGTGTCCTCCACGGGCTCTTACGCACGCTGTGCAGCGACGTCGCATGGAATTTACCAATGTTTGAAAGAAGGCTTGGGGCAAATTGTTCCATGCTTCTAAAGCAGCAATGGTGTGCATCTGTGGTCTCCGATACAGACAGCGTCCAATCCCATCCCAGACATTGGCCAGTCCAAGACATTGATGTTTTTAGCAGCCAGGTAGTCCATACTAAAACGGGCGGTATGCGGACGTGCATTAT